TTTAAATTATTTTTCTTTCCGTGCTTTCCTTCTTTTCCCCGGCCTTGAGACTTTTTCCTGGATTTGCTATTGAACTGTCGACGTTCGCCGGCTGTTTTGTGTGCTCGGGTTACCTTGCCCACTGATTCGCTTTGCTCCGTAGCCGTGCTTGAGTTTGCTGTAGTCTTGGCGCACCAAATTGGTTTTCGCTGTTGATATATGGCGTCTTCTTTCGACGTCCCGCCGTTCTTCTACTTTCAAACTGGATGTTAGCTCAAATAACTTTCCAGTGTAGTCGGATTTCTTAATTCAATAAAGTCTTGCACTTGGGGCAGTAACCTCGGCAAAATCACTTGAATTTTCAGGATCCGGACGGTTTCCATACAAGAGTTGAAGACGTGAATTTTTCTTAAAATAAAGCTTGAGAGGTTTTCGATTCTTTGTTGATATATACTAAAAAGTTCCGTTTCTAATTTCGCACTATCCCTTACAACATGGAATGCTTTTAGTAGGGGCAGTCTTGAAATTTTCGTAAGTATAGGTGGGACTTCCTGCTTGACCCAAGAGACTTTTGCCTATACATTTGAACCAGTTAAGCGCTTGGCCCCTCAAAGCGCTGGTAGCTAAGGTAACTTTTGAAACTCGTGCACGGGGGGGTAGAGCATGAAGTGGTCATCCAATTTTTCCAAAAAACTGGTTACCGGTGAGTTTCCATTAAATGTTGCTTTGGTTTCATCGAAGCGCGCATGGTCTGGACGATGTAACCAAATCCTTCCAGGCGGCAGCTGGCATTTCTGGATTCTGAGCCGTTTCTGCAGGCAGCACAGGTGGTTGTTGAAACTCGGCCATGGTTATTCTTCTTCGTTGGGCGCCACTATCAGGGTCAATGTTCCTTCTTACCTTCTTCGGGAACATGCAAGGAGCTGACTCGGAACAGAGAGCTTACTAAAGCTATGTTCAAAACTGTGGGAAGTAAACAGGATACACAAGAAGGGTATACAAAACCCTTTATTTTTCTCTATTTACAATGACTTCCGTACTTCGGAATACACCGACCCGCTACTCGGGGTCTAACGTAAAAGTATAAAAATAGAACTAAACTCTAATTTAACTTTAAAATAATAAACACTTGGGGGAAGATTGGCCTTATATTAACAGGAAGCGTATGTAGTACAGAGAACTGTGAACACTACAATACGTTTAAAATTTATCAAGAGGATTAAAACCTCTGGCCTGGAAGGCAACAAGCAACTGCGTAACTTCTAAGGTAAGCGGCCTGCTTCGAACTCACTGCTTCCTCTCTCTCGCTTGGCAAAAAAGCCACAACTTAAATACTTGCGTTGCCAGACAAACTCTGCATAAATATTTCACGCTTATATTCTGGCCGGAAGTAGAAAATAAGAAGTGATAGTAAAGATTTAAAAAAATAAACGTTAGTAAAACTTAAGATCCTTACAATGTGTGAATAATTAATCCTGCGTGAGCAAGACAATTTCTTAGAACTTAATGCTTCAAAAAATGAATACTAGGATTCCTAGAAAAGAAATTATCATCAAAATATATATTCTACAAAAAATTTTTAATTATATTCTTATAATGACTTCCTAAATAATTAATAATTGTTATAATTATTAAATATAATGCTTACTTATTTTTTACAAAATGTATACAATAATAACCCTTTATTTACAAAAATACCATATTGAATAACTATATTGTAAGCTAATAAATAACAACACTACATTGTTTCTTATTAACTATGTGTCATCCTTCCTTTTCAGCTTTGTGTTATAGGGTAATGTTTTTAATCCTATTTCAGACAAAGTGTACTGTGTGTGTTTCAAGGACAGGAAGGTAAGAATTTTTAAACTCAGTCAATAAATTCATGATCAACTGAAAATTCATAAAGACTGTTTCGGGTTAAAATTCCCTTTCAGAATATCTTGAGTGTATATAAAAAAAGTGAAATGCAAATTTTACATTAATATTATCACAGTTTCAGCCCTTAAATAACTCCTAAATGTTTTGTTTTTTGCTCTTAAAAACAGATCAGGTGTTTAAAAGTTAATACCGTAATGTTTACCATCTCGAAATTATTGCTCAAGAAAAAGCGGAAACAAAGGCATTATTATTATTATTTATTTATACCAAGGGCACGTTTAATTTCTTTGAGATCGAGAAAATATTAAAAAAAATTTTATGCTATATCCTGAAATCTCCTAATTTTTTGTTTTCATAAATCAGATGAAAAATAAGTCACATTTGAAACCCATCCTTTTTCAAATCAGCAATCCACGTATATAATCATAAAAATCTTTTTTTATGTCCTTGAAATTAAGATATTCAGTTACCAATTTTAATCTCGCTGAATATTTAACTTTACTTAAAAGACCATATTTGTATACATTTTTAAGTATATATTGTTCATTCAAAAAACGAAATCTTTCCAGAAAATAACATCCTCTTTAAAAACTAAGTAAATTTCAGCATTAAATATGCCTGAAAAGTTAAAATTTTGAAATCTCCTTAATATTTATCTAGAGTTTCTTTAAAGAGAAAGTTTAAAAGTCACATCAAGTTAAGTTGATTAAATTTGGCAGAAATAATAAAACAGATGTTTTTTCAGAATAATTATACAAATATTATGCTAAATATCTTAAATTATTGGTAATAATATTTAAATAAAAAGAAATTATTTATAATAATTATTATCTACATGTAAATGAAGAATATAGATAAATGTTGAAAGATTTAAAGATTTTAAATTTATAACAAAAACATAGAAAATCCGAAATAATATCAAATCCAATCGAACTATAAATATTGCTTTTCAAATGTTTCAGGAATCTCACAGAAAGAATGAATATTGCACCAGATATTTTTACTAATATGGATTTTATTAATAGCAGTTTAACCAATCTGCATTGAAATTCAGATGATAATCAATGATCCAGAGATTTAGGTATCTTAGATTAAACATTAATAATAATTAAAAAAAGAGCGGGTAAATTTTAAAACCAAGTTGTTTCAAAATAAGAGTCTTTTAGGTTGGTTGGTTAGTTTTCTTAAATGGCACAGAACCCTCGAGGACAAATGGTGAGTAAAATTCAAAATGCATAAACAAGTATCAAGTGAATTGATGAAATGAACGTGAAATACTGATGGAGGCATGGAGAAATGACTTTAAAATGTCTAGGCAGAAATGACTGAAAAATGCTTTAGCAACAGGTGGAGTAGAATAAAATGTAGTTCAAATCATATGGTAAAAGGAGATGTCTTTTAAAAAACTTATGAGGTTGATGTGAGGCTTTCTTCCAATGAGATCTGTTAAGTTAACATTCGTAGAGTTAATATAAAATTCACGTTTCTGACTAAGAGCAGGACAGCAGGTTAAAATATGATTGACTGAAACGGGAACGTTGCAAGTGCCACAAATAGGCTCATTATCTCCTTTCAAGAGGAACTGATGTATCAGTTTGCAATGACCAATTCGTAAGCGAGTCAGTAGTACATCCTCCTTCCGATTCCCTCTCGACTCCCAGTACACCAAATTGGGTTTTACCTGCCTTAATTTGTTCAGAGTTTGGCATTCCCAGAATTCTTGCCACCTGAACAAGACCTTTGTTCTAATGTAATTCCGTATGTCTGTAAAAGGGACATCGTTTTCTGAGGTAATATTAGCAGATTTTGCTGCAATATCGGCGAGTTCATTGCCTTTGATGCCAGCGTGTCCAGGCACCCAGCAGTACGCGATATAATAACCTGCGTTTCTCAAACGGAGGTGTGCCTTTAAAATTTCTAAGAGCAAAGGGTGGCTGGTATTTGTATTTATTGATTCAAGAGCATTCAGAGAGTCAGAGTAGATGATGAACTTTCTGCTATTCTGCCTAGAGATAAAGATTAAGGGATTCAAAATGACAAAAGTTTCCGCAGTAAAGACAGATGCAGCCTTATGAAGTTTACTACTCTTTATTTCTTTATCACAAACAAAAGCTGCCCCGACGTGGTCATGATTCTTTGAGCCATCAATAAAAATTGCTTTGTAGTTAGAATAACTGCTTCTATGCTCTAGGAAAATTTGTTGGTAATGGATATCATTGGTACTGCTCTTACCAATTAACCAATTGGCAGAGGGATGGTGCCCACGTCCTCCGTCGCATGTCTTCTTTAGTTCTCCAAAAATGTTAAGTAGGTGAATGTTCACTTCTTGCCAGGGAGCAATACCGAAAAGGTCAAAGCTTTTGGGATGCAGATCATTTAGGTTAAATTCTTCAGTCAGTGAGTGAATGCGAAAATCAAAATGTGGGATACATGAAGGACTCGCATGGTAAAGACGCCAGTACTGATCAGATGTCATGAGTCAGACAGGATGTTCGGCCTGTGACATTACTTTATAATGAAGATCAATGGACAACTGCTTGAGTCTGAATTCCAAAGATGGTTCAAAACAGATGACATATAAACTTTGGACTGGAGATGTTCTGAAGGCTCCACAGCAAATCCGTAGCACTTGATGGTGGACTGGATCCAATTTCAGGAGCACAGAAGGTCTTGCTAATCCGTAGATAACATAGCCATAGTGAAGTTTCGAACGGATTAAAGCTGTATAAATGCGGAGCATAGAACAACGTTCTGCTCCCCATGAGGTATTGACCAGGACTTTCAATATGTTGAGAGCTTTAGCACATTTTTTCTTTAGATTTAGGATATGCGGAAGGAAAGTGAGCTTTCTGTTAAAGATAACTCCTAAGAATTTGGCTTCTGGTTCAACGCGGATGAAAGAGCCGTCAAGATACAGCTCTGGATCAGGATGTAGATTTCTTTTGCGACAGAAGTGCACGCAGACTGTCTTCTGGCTAGAAAATTTAAAACCATTGTTGTTGGACCACTTTATGATTCTATTTAGAGCAATTTGTAGTTGTCTCTCAATGTATCCCATATCTTGACCTTGACTGTGGGAGTCAACCATGCACTGTGGGAGGAAGTTCTCTTAAAATGGAATTAATTTTCAGGCTGAAAAGAGTGACACAGCACTGAACCTTTTGGTATATCTTCTTGTTGTACAAATACTTGAGAAAGTAACTAACCAATCTTGACTTGAAAAGTGCGGTCCTTCAAAAAGTTTTGAATGAAGATGGGTAGATTACCTCGCAATCCATCCAGTGCTGTAAAAAAGGTCATGAAGAGTTCCATGCCGCCAAGTTCTATCGTGTGCCTTTTCCATGTCAAAGAAGATTGAAACCACATGATTTCTTTTCACAAATGCATTGCGTACTGCGGTTTCTAAAAACAGGGCATTATCAAGTGAAGGATCTTCCTTTACGGAAACCACTTTGGTAAGGCGATAGGCAATGATTAGTCTCCAGAAAGTAGGCGAGACGGTGATTTACCATTTTTTCCATTATCTTGCAAAAGCAGCTAGTGAGCGCAATGGGGCGATAATTTAAAGGATTTTTCGGGTCTTTGCCGGCTTTTACTATAAGGATAACAAAAGCCCTGCACCAAGCAGTAGGAAAAATTTGTTCCTTCCATATCTTATTACAAAGAGCAAGAAGGACCACTAGAGATTCATAGGGCAGGTGCTTTATCATCAAGATAACTTATGCCATCAGGACCAGGGCAAGTCCTATCAGTGCGAGATATTACATTTCTTAATTCAAACATGGTGAGATCTTTATTATAAGATTCTGCATTAGGATTTGAAAAGTCGATTTGAATCCTTTCCAAGCGCATCTTTGTGGGCAGAAACTCTTTTGAGTAATTGCTAGTGCCAGATACAGCAGCAAATATATCACCTAAAGCATCGGCTATTTCTTCTCTAGTGCTAATCAACTTTCCATCTTTTTCTAGAACAGAAAAGGAATAATCATTATAGAGTCCAGATGCTTTGCGGACTCTTTCCCAAACATGTTTGCTAGACATTAAGGAGGTAATAGTAGACACGTAGTCTGCCCATGATTTTCTCTGACTTTGCCGCCTCACTTTCCTTGCATTCCACTTAGCTTTTTTAAAGGGAAGAAGATTTTCCAGTGTAGGATAACGGCGAAAGATACGCCAAGCTTTCTTTTGCTCTCTCGAAGTTTTATGACAATCATTGTTCCGCCAGGGTTTAGGGAACTCTGCGAACTTTGTCGAGAACTTCGGAATACAGAGTTCAGCTGCTTGTACAATAGTATCAGAAATCATTTTTACTGCAGTATTAATGTCCACATCGTTGACCGTTTCTTCAGTCAGCACAGCACAAGATTCAAAAAGATCCCAATCAGCTTTATCGTAAAGTAAGCGTGGTTGGCGTGAGATCTTTGAATTCCCTGTAATATTTATAATGACTGGTAAGTGGTCACTATCGTAGAGATTCTCCCCTACACTGAAAGAGCATAAAGGTAGTAGAGATGGAGAACAAAAAACCAGATCAATTGCATGAAAGGTTCTAGTCGATTGCTGGATGTAGAGCCATGGTATTCCTTGTAGTAAAAAATTGGAATTGAAGATTAAACTAAATAGATCCATATACCTAACCCCTGCCGAAAATTAATGATGTTATACAACTTAAAAACTTCGAGAAGTCTTCGTAAGCACTTGCTTTAACCTTTCCTGATGATTTAAGAATTCGTCTTGTTCTTCGAAAAATATATTGGTATAGCGAGCTAACTCAATTTCTGCCGTTACATTTTGACTGCTGTTTCTCACCGAGACTTTGTTTCACTTTGATAGAGTGAGATCTACTTTGATTTGAGTACAACGCATAACTCGTACGAGATGTTCCGATTCAAAATTGTAGGACTGATATTTGTCTGTCTGGCTGATAATTGCTTAATTTATGCTAATACTTATTCAAAGTTTAATGATGTAAAAGATATACTAAATATTAATTGATTTGTGTTACTTGAATTGTTATCCTTTGGAGTAAGTTATTTGATTTCATATTTCTCTTTCAGATCGTACACTTTATTGTAACATTTGGTGCCATTAAAAAAAAACTTAAGGTTGAGAACCTAAATACTTGAAATAATTAAATAATAATAATCTTGTTTTTAATTCACGTTGTGAACTTGAGATGAAGTGTGTAATCTATTATTATTTGCTGCACGTGTGATTTAAATTAACGAATTATATTTAAATATATTTTAAGATATATGTAATATATTTAAATCAAGAGTAAATTTCAATAACTAACATTGGATTGTGGTGCATATCGATAGGTATAGTGTGGTGCTAAGTATCTATATAAAAATTAAAAAAAATGTTTGACCGATTCCTATTGCACTGATTGATGTCATACATGTGGTAAAATGTGTTGAAGCATATTTTAAACTGAAAAAGAAATGATCAAAAATTTGTTGTCCTTACAGTGATAATTGCCAAAATTCTGCATGTTTGATAAGTAAATTTATGTATGTTACAAAATTTAGCACTAAGTCTATCAGGTTCAGTGTTCCGCCTTACTTGCTTGGGGAACATTCAAGAACCTGACTCGGAACAGGGAGCTTACTAAAGCTATGTTCAATAAATGTGGGAAGTAGACAAGATACACAGGAAGGGTATACGAAACCCTTTATTTTTCACTCTTTACAATAATTTCCGGACTTCGGAATACAGAGACCAACCACTTGTGGTCTGAACGTAAGAATATAAAAATATTAACTAAACTCTAACTTAACTTTGAAATTATAAACAAGGGCCTCCGAGAAGATTGGCCGTATATTAACAGGAAGCCGTATGTAGTACAGAGAACTGTTAACACTACGATACGTTTAAAATTATTAAGAGGATTAAACCTCTGGCCTGGAAGGCAACCAGCAACCGAGTAAAAACTGCTAAGGCAAGCGGCCTGCTTCTACTAACTCCTTCCTCTATCTTGCTTGGCAAAAAGCCACAACTTAAGTACTTGGCGTTCGCCAGACAAATTTGCATAAATAAGTTAAAGCTTTTAATTCTGGCCGGAAGTAGAAAATAAGAAGTGATAGTAAAGATTTAAAATAAAATAAACGTTAGTAAAACTTAAGATCCTTACAAGTATTTATAAAAAATTATGTGTATCTTAATGTGTTTGAAATTGAATGTTGTAAAGTAAATATAAAAAAGATAAATAACACTATAGTTCATCTATTCCAAAATCAAAATTTAAGTCAACTACCATAATGACTACTTCCTTAGCATCTGCTCTGCCCACATTCAGTGGTAATGTTTCGGAAAATGTGAACTTCTTCTTGGATCAGATAAATAGTGTGGCAGAACTTGAAAAATTGCCCAATGAGAAAAGGTTGATTATTCTAAAAATTAACTGTCGGGATAAAGCTCTAGATTTCTTGGTCAATGACCCAAGAGCAGCTAAAGAAAACAGTTTTGAAAATTTTAGGGAAATTACTAAGAGAGAAATTTGCTCAAGTTGAATCTTTTCAGGTTATTCAGCAAAAATTCTTAAATATTTCACAAAAATGTAATCAGTCTGTCAGAGAATTAGATGAAGAGATAAATACTGCAGCTACAAAGTACATTAATAAAGATTCTGTTGAAAATCCTAGCTTGCACAAGTTAAAAGAAAATCTGAAACTCACGAAATTTCTTGAGGCTCTTAGAGCTGATATCAGGATTGAAGTTAAAAAGTTAGGTCCATCTTTATTTGATAAGGCTGTAGAACTCGCTAGTAATATAGATAATGCTTTGAATGACCAAAAAAATTATCTTAACGGTATTAATGCTGAGCAAAAATTTGAACAAAATAAAATCATTCAGGAGTTAAAAGGTAAAATAAATGAATTGTCTCAAAATATGCAGATGAATACCTCACAATCAAAATTTAATCAGAGTGCTTCTACATCTCAAAATACGAACAGATTTGATAATAAATCTTCTCATATATGTAGCAAAAGACACTTAACTACAGATTGTTGGTATTTTCCTAAGCAAGTGTGAGAACATAGAATTCTCACGGTGAACAGTATATCATCATCGATACTTGAATCGTTATCGCGCGCTGCCACGTGCGTCGCATTGGATAAAACATGGAAGGACTGGTTTGTCTCTCTCTCTTGCCCTTCGGTCTCTCTCTTGGCCCTTGCCTTGCTTGGTTCGTGTTGAGCTCCGATTAAGCGCCACGTGCTTTTATTACTGTGCTATCGTTTCGACTTTCCATTTCGTATCCGGATTTATTATTGGGTGGGCTGTGATGTGATTATTTTTGTGGACTGCTTGTTTATCCTTAAGTTAATGCTTAGTGTTTGAATTCATCCTGATATAGTGACTCTGTTTTCCACGTGCCATGGAGGGAAAGGAAGTCCCCCTGGTCACCGTTGCCGAGTTAATTTTTCCAAATGTGGCAGTTACGCCAGATGATGTTCGTGCTTTTGGTGACGCTCTTCTGACTGAAAATTGTTCAAATCTACTGGACATGGACTGTGTTACGATACAAGACTATCGTATGTTATTGGATCAAATTAAGCTGGTACAATGTTCTCGGAGGGCGTTTGTAATGCAGCTAAATGCAGAAACCGAAGTAGCTAAATGCTACTTCGGAACCGGAGAAGGATGCTATCCTCGCGAAGTTTCTGGGTTACATAGCCTGTGCTGAAAGACTCAACGTGCTGTTCCAAGGTAAGTGCGAGACTTTCCGTGTGCAAAATCCTATGTATTTTAATGCAAATGCTGTTAATGTTATTGAGGAAAATGGATCAAATAATGTAAAATCCTTGTCTAGTAGTGTTAATGAAAATGTGTCAAATAATGCCAAATCTTTGCTTAGTAATCATAATGGTTCAATGTGTAAGAATAGCGAGAAAAATGTCGATGATATTTCTATAATTGATGTATGTAAAACTAATCCTGGTGTATGTTCTGAAAAATCTAAACCCAAAAGGGGTTCAAAAAAAGGGAAACGTACAGTTACTGAGTTACCGGACTCTGATGGCTTTATTCAGCCGCGTAACGTGGCCATGCCAGCGAAACTTGTTAAGTGTAATACTAGCATAG